GCAGCAAAGTTCAAGGAGCAGGAAAAGTGTTTGTGACAGAACATATAGTACATTACTGGGCACTGTGATCTCCCACTTGGCCAGATGGATTTGGAGATTTTTCACATGCAATCTGCCCTGTTGTGACTCGTGAATAAAAGATAGTTTCCCACTCCAACCTAATTCCCCTTTTCCTGTCCTGTCACAAACTGTTTTCCTCAAGTTTATGGTTTGTATTCTCAATCATTTCCCGCAAGTCTTCAGACAATAACTTTTAGGAGAAATATTGGCAACAGTGCATTTGCTAAGAAACATTAACACACCCCATTCTGTGTGTTTCACTTTTTATTTAATAATAGCACTATGTTAACTGTGAAATATTTAAGAAGAATACATGTCAAGCATCCTGTATGCCTCAAGATATTTCTCAGGAAAGATGCTGTAATGACTTCATAGATAATAAGAAGATAAAAAATAGTGGTCCTCTCTTTAAAATTTAACTAAACCTGTAGGAAATAAAAGAACGCATGTAATCTGCAGGATAGGTCTTTCTGAGACTGCACAAACTGATATTTTCACAGCAGTCAGGATGGATCTCTTTTGCCAGGCATTTAATTTATTGATATTTGTATTGGTATTAAGCGATGATGTTGGATTTTTATTTTTGCACATTGAATTTTATCAATTGTTAATTGCTCCGATTGTATAGAAAGGCTGGATATTGAACAGCAAAATAGTTATTTGTTGTTTCATTATGTTAAATAACCAAATACCAACCTGTAATACTCATTTTTACCGAATTTTTAACATACAAAGCAATCATTTTATCACAAATCTATTCCACCAATACTATTTCTCATTCCACCCAGAACATGGAAGACAACCACACCCCATTTAACTGTTGCAAGTAAGAAAAAAAGACAAAAATCCAGATTAAAGGTATTTTGTAAAATAAGCAGGCACTGAAATATAAATAATGTTTTGTATCTATCTCAATTTTTTTTCAATAGCTACCTGTCCATTGCTATCCTTGATTTATTTTCTTCAATTCTGCCTACCGTGTTTTCCATGACTCTTTCACATGACTCTTGAGATCTCACCTTGGCAGCTCCTGGAGTCTCAAACATCCTTTGAAAACACTTCATGTTTTCTTCCTTTCCATTTCATATACTTCTCTCTCTCTGTGTGTGTGTGTGAGTGTGTGCTGAACACATGTAGTCTTTGGCTGAACATTCTGTTCTTGATGTCCTATAATAATACTATTTCCCCTCCCCAAAATTACTGTTCATTCCATTTACCCATACCTCTACCTCACTCCTTCTTGCTTTGTTCTTTTATATTGAATGATAAATAATATGTTTCCAGGTATTACATTTTCTCCTTACTCCTGTAAAATACCATAATAACTTATGATTCAATTAATCAATAGTGTTATCTGATTAAGCTAACTTGGCAAAACTTCAGTTTTCTGACCTGCGTGCTTTCCATGCTTTTCCCAGTTTGCTCAGAAGAGCACATGAGAGCTTTCCATCCAGCCCACCTCACTTCGCTTAAACACTTACCGGTAGTGCTGGATGTTTTCAGACTGTGTAACATTCCTAAGAGATAACGTCTACCTGGATTACACGAAGCACTCATTGATATTCTCATGGCTGACTTGTATAAAAGACATGTGCCTTTCTGAACCTGGCCTTTGTAAGTGTAGCACAAAGGAGTTTCTGATACAGAAAGCAGAATTTTCATTAGACTAAAGAATTAGAAGCCACTCTGGATGCCAGAAGAAATACAACCATTATCTAGCTTAGATTTAGTCAGCATAATATTCTTTCATGGAGAAGCGGTATTTGATTTCATATAACAAAAGCAGCCCAAATTTCCAGTGGATGTTGGACCAGTGTGAATATTGTTCTCAGTTCCTATAACAGTGGTGGCAAACCTATGGCACGGGTGCCAGAGGCGGCACTTGGAGCCCTCTCTGTGGGCATATGTGCCATTGCCCCAGTCTCGCCTCTCCCCACGACCCCCTCCTCACCTGCAACCCCCTTGGAGGAGAGTCGCCCCTGAGCGTGGCTCACATGGAGCAGCGCAGCCCAGGACATGGCAGCCAGGCAGTGTAGACAAGACTCTGCCCTCACGCCCCATCATGCACAGCTGATGCTGCAGGGCGCAGGCAGAGATTGTGGCCACCATGGTGCTGCCTGGGCGACCTGTGGTGGGCCCTGGAAGTGGTGAGTGGCCCTGAGGGCAGGCGGGGTGGGGGATGGTGTGTGTGGGGGAACGGGGGCACAGCAGGAGGTGGAGTGGGGGCGGGGCCAGTTTTTGGACACTCGGTCTCTAAAAGGTTCGCCATCACTGTCCTATAATAACTAGTTGCTATTAGAATTTTATGCTACTAAATTGGGAGGGGGGGTTACAGACATTTAAACAAAACCCTGTCCTTTTTATATACATTGACACATGTACAAAAGAGGTGATACCACTTTCACCAGCTTTCCTGTTTGGACATTCTCCAATGGATCCTGCCGGCCCAAGCTATCTTGCTAGGTACCTACTGAACTTATTGCATCATCTGATTCTTTTTAAAATGATTCTTTTAATGAAAATGGAATTACAAACCTCCCCCATTGCAAACAAAGCAACACACTAACCTCTACTTCTGCTATATTTCTGCAGAAAAACCCTTGCTCGACTCCTCTCTGTCCCCTTGCTCGTTATATTAGCGTGGTAAAGAGTATCCTGTGGGACTTGTCAATTTTCAGATTAATTTGTATTTCATGAGTGGCCAGGCTGACCATGACAGACATTCTGTGAGTGCCTCTGACATATCTTTTCAAATTTCCAGCCATACGTCTGGAAGTCCCCCAAAGGTAATCTGTCTCCCCATCTAAAAAGTGTAATTCTTAAGTTAATGTATTATATATGACACTTTTTCTTCCCAACAAGACCATCAGTGGATTCAACTAAGCATTTATCAAGTGTAAATTTACCAAAGTGCAAGAAAATCCTACAAGGAAGAGGCTACAAAGATTGACTTAGCAAGTGGCAGAGAAATTTCCTGTGCTGCTGCTTTGATTTTTGCCTGCAAATAGTTTGAAACAAATGTCCTCCCCCACTGCCTTGTGCAGGGTGACTGGCTTACTCAACTCAGTCAGGCCCTTGAAGCGGCTTACAATCAAGGGATGCCCACAACACAGAAGCCCAATCTTTTGCTGCTTTAAAGAAACAAAAAGGGCATCTAAACAGGCTAATCTTCCTAAGTTTTCTTAAGGCTTAGGGAGTGTCAAAGAGGCAGAGAGGTTGGCCATGGTCCGTGCCTCTCCCAATAGTTTCACAGAACATGCTGCATGTATAGATTTACTTCACCCTCATGCAGTAGGAGAGGTTTGCTTTGCAAAACTTCAAATAAACTAAGTCCTGGCACCATAAAGGTCAACACCAGCATTCTGAAATTGGCCTAAAAACAAATGGACAACTACTGCTGCTCTTATAAAAACAATACCACTTCTGCTTCTACTTTATAGCAGTTTACAAAGTGCATTTTGGACAGCTAAAGCTTTCAGATATTCATGCAAAGGTAGCTCTATTTAGTAGCTTTATTTAAAACACACAGAGATATTCAGTCTAGACATTGCCCCATTGAATCTCAGATTGATAAGGACACTGCATCTCCCATCAGGCCAAACCAACATTTCTCAAAAAAAAAAAAAAAACATAGCTAATGCATCAGAACTGGATAGAAGGCCCTCCTTATTACCCCAAACAATTAAGAATTAATTAACTATCACATAATTAAAAGAGTATACAGGTGGTCCTGGTTTAACATCATAACTGGGACAACAACTCAGTTGTTAAGCAAAGTGATCTAAAAGTGAAACAATGATTGTGCTTATGATCTTACTTCAGCTTCCCTTTATGGTACAGACCTGCAAATGTCATAATGTGAAGATTGGTAGTAAAGTCACAGTACTTTTTCATCATTGTCCTAACTGTGAGACTGTGAACAGTCAATAAACAAGGCGTAAAGTGAGGACTACCCATATTTGCTTTCACACAATTGTAAACCTAAAAAACAGTCTAGATCTATTTTTGTTCAGTTCTAATGTTTCAGTTCATTAATGTTTATATAGATTATCACCTTTGCCAAACATCTATTCAACATTTTACTCATCACTAGAAAGTACACAAACAACTAGAATAGCAAATAATTACAAGCACATTTTCACTTGGCGAATGGTGGTTAATACTCACTTTGTTAGGGTAAGAATGTCCTCATAAGCAGCCAGTTTAAAGCTCACTACCAAGGCTACTGAGACAAAATGGTGACTTCAGTGATGGATATGGTTGTTCACTGCAACCAAGATGCACACACTAGGATGACCTGCATCTAAATTACTACTGATTGGGGACAATGATATGTCAATGGGGAGAATCATTTAATTGTTGTTATTAAACAATTTGCTGTTGGCAATCTTCTCAACTCACCACTCATCATCATTACATGTATATTTCCTCTGTCACTGAGTATTGTTTTGCTTCCATGTCTCCTCTTAAGCTACAAGTACATGTACATATATATATATATATATATATATATATATATATATATATATATATATATATCTCAGTATATTCTTACATACTTTGCCTGGATCCACTTCAAGACCTGTGAATCTTGGAAGTTAAAACCATTGAAAGGCAAGTCTGGGAAGCACAGTCCATATATACAGTATATAAGAAAATATATGTGTGTTCAAAGACCCAGCAGATATTTCTATTTGCCTGAAGTGAATGGAGGTGAAATTACTCAAGAAGAGAAAGGTGTTCTATCAGGCAGAGGGGTGCTGCCATTTTATCAAGGATGATTCCAGTGATCCCTAGAGGATGGATCAGCTTGATTGAGGAGTGATCATTAATTTCGCTCTTGTGACCCTATTAGGCAGACAAGTGTTAGTTGTATGGTGAGCTCTGAAGAGGATCAAGGAATAACGTGGGTGAAGATGTGACTGATTGATATAAATTACCTGGGCATGCAGTGAAGCAGGGTAGGTGAAAGCAGGCGGAGGTAGAGCAGGTGCTAACTCCGCTGGGTAGAGAGGGTACGGCGCCCACACTTCAGGGCTACTGGGGTAAAGTGCAGGCACTGTGAGTTCATCTGCAAGAGAAGAATAAGGAAAGGTCATCATTAAAAAACCCAGTAAATGCAGAAAACAAAACGGCAAATTGTCTTCACCGCCAAACTAAGATGGTCTCTCTGACCACTCCTCTTTCTTCAAAAAGCAAAAATGGAGAAAATCAGGGGGGGAAGTTTGCTCTGAGACAACCTATGAAAATCAACATCTATATCCTACATTAAAAAACCAAGGATACTTTTCAACAGGGGCATAACAGGAGACAGAGAAAAATCAAACTAAGCTACTCTACCAACTAAGAGCAATCAAAGTAAGCATTGATAATATCAGTCAGGTTGACTGGTGATGATGGGAATCATAGTCTAACACAGCCATAGAACACCAGATCAGGAACAACTGTTATACATTTTTTGAATCAATGAATACAGCTGAAACTATGCTTGATGCTTCAGCTGGGAAACTCTGAAAGAAAACAATCGACTATTTGCTTCATTACATATTTAAAACACAGAACAATGCACCAATATATGTAATCACATCTTCTAATATTATTTCATAAGTAGCAGAAATATATAGGTTCCTAAAGAATTATCATAGACCTGGAAAGCTGGGTAAAGGGAGCTGACTGCAATCCTTTGTAAACCATCTTACCCTCACTCACCATGAATTTATATCACAGCCTACATCACATTATTCATAATATCAGAGCCTTTGAAAACACATGATCAAATAATTAAAAGTAAACAAAATGACATATGAATATAGAATGAATTCAGTTAAGCCAAAAACAGCAGCCAATATTCAATGTGACAGAAGCTAAACATTTCTTCAGAACTGTTTTTCATAAAACAGTGATGGCGAACTTTTTAGAGACCCAGTGCCCAAACCCACTTATTTATCACTGGGTGCCGGGTGGGTGTGGCTGCGGTGGTCATGGCAGACTGGATGCGCGGGGCCAGGGTGGTGGTGGCCAGTCCCTTGCCATCTCCAGGGCACAGCATGTGTGCCCACAGAGAGGGGTCTGAGTGCCTCCTCTGGCACGCGTGCCATAGGTTCGCCACCACTGTCATAAAAGATATCAAATTATAGGTCCTGGCATTTTGTATAAAATGTATTTCTCAATTCCTTACAAAATTCTAGGCAAATAGACCAATCAGCTTACTAAAGTAACAGCTACTATAAGAAGACATGATGGGAGATTGAAACCTTTTAAGATAAAGCTGCTGGCTGGCCTCTCTTCTTTTGTATGGCAGTTTAGGAAGTAAACGAATCAAGGAAATAATGAATTGGACTTGCATTCTTAAAGTTGTGCACTTCACAATTTTATGTATTATCCAAGATTTAATCTCAGATGAAAGTGCTAATCTGACTTGGTGTATATCACTGAGACCTGGATTAGGAAAAAGAGGGAAGCGGTATGCACTGGCTACTCTGTGCTCTGAAAAACTCAGAATGGCAGTTAAGGAAGAAACTTGACCTTCATCTTTAGGAATTTCGTCTTGCTTACTAAACATTCTATCCAATAGTCCTCCAGTTCTGAGTGTGTGCAGCTGTCTTTTTGCTAGGAATTAAGGCTGGGGGTGGTTGTGGGAAGTTGTTCTGTTTCTCAGCCTTAAATCCATCCCATAAAAGGCCCACAATTTTTGTTGTTGAAATTTGACCATTTTGCCACCGAATTTCTGCAATAGGATCTCATACTGTGGGACAGCTGCAAATGGATTCCACTTCACCTACAAACAGTTGAACAATTATATAAATTGTTTGGAAAGATAATTAAAAGTTGTTCCTTACCATCTCATTCCAAGGAAGCAATCAGTAACTTTGAATGTTGCCTAACTTCAATAATGAACTACATGAGGGAGAATAAACTGATATTAACTTAAATAATAATAATAATAAAGTTGAAAGGGACCTTGGAGGTCATTTAGTCTGTCCAGTCTCTTCTTAAAAACATCCAGTGTTGGAGCATTCACCGCTTCTGGAGGCAGGTTGTTCCACTGGTTAATTGTTCTAACTGTCAGGAAGTTTCTCCTCAGTTCCAGGTTGCTTCTCTCCTTGATTAGTTTCCATCCGTTGCTTCTTGTCCTACCCTCAGGCGCCTTGGAGAATAGCTTGACTTCCTCTTCTTTGTGGCAACCCCTGAGATATTGGAATGCTGCTACCATGTTATCCCTAGTTCTTCTTTTCATTAAACTAGACATACCCAATTCCAGCAGCCTTTCCTTATATGCTTTAGCTTCCAGTCCCCTAATCACCGTTGTTGCTCTTCTCTGTACTCTTTCTAGAGTCTCAACATCTTTTTTACATTGTGGTGACCAAAACTGGATGCAGTATTTCAAGTGTGGCCTTACCAAGGCATGGTAAAGTGGTATTAATACTTCACGTGATCTTGATTCTATCCCTCTGTTAATGCAGCCTACCATGTGTTGGCCTTTCTGGCAGCTGCAGCACACTGCTGGCTCATATTTAAGTGATTGTCCACTAGGACTCTGAGGTCTATCTCACAGTTACTACTATTGAGCAAGGTACCCCCTATACTATACCTGTACATTTGATTTTTCTTACCTAAATGTAGAACCTTGCTTTTTTCACCATTGAATTTCATTTTGTTAGATAGTGCCCATTGTTCAAGTCTGTCCAGATCCTTCTGTATCTTAAGCCTGTCTTCTGGAGTGTTGGCTATTCCTGCCAGCTTGGTGTTGTCTGCAAATTTGATGAATTCCCCATCGTCCAAATCGTTGATGAAGATGTTAAAGAGCACTGGGCCCAGAACAGAGCCCTGGGGCACCCCACTACACACTTCCCTCCATGTAGATGCAGTTCCATTGAGGACCACATGCTGAGTACGGCTGGTCAGCCAGCTACGGATCCATCTGGTGGTGATTCTGTCTACCCCACATTTTTCTATCTTGTCAAGTAGTAGGTTGTGATCTACTTTATCAAATGCCTTACTGAAGTCCAAGTAAATTATATCCACAGCATTCCTCTGATCCACTAATATTGTCACTTGGTCAAAGAATGCAATAAGATTTATTTGGCATGATCTGTTTTTGACAAACCCACGTTGGCTTTTAGTAATGACTTTGTTTGCCTCTAAAGTGTTCACTGATTCGTTGTTTGATTATCTTTTCCAGAATCTTCCCAGGTATTGAGATCAGACTGATAGGTTTGTAATTTCCTGGGTCCATTTTTTTCCCCTTTTTTGAAGATGGGAACTACATCAGCTCTTTTCCAGTCCTCCGGTAGTTCCCCAGTGCTCCATAATCTTTGAAAAATATAGTTCAGTGGTTCTGAGATCACATCTGCCAATTCCTTGAGAACCTTGGGTTGTAATCCATCTGGTCCTGGTGATTTGAACTCATCTAGGCTGGACAGGTGCTCACTTACCATTTTCTTGCCTATTTTAACCTGTGTTTCTATTTTGTTTTTTATGGCACTATTTTTGATAGGTCGGTCTGTTTTTTCCCTTTGTGTAAAGACAGATGCAAAAAATGAGTTAAATAGTTCTGCTTTCTCCGTTACTTGTCACCTTCTTGCCACTTTCACCCACTAATGGACCAACCAGTTCCTTCACTTTTTTCTTGTCTTTTACACGTTGAAAGCTTTTTTTGTTATTTTTGACTTTGGTCGCAAGCCTTAGTTCATTTTGAGCCTTGGCTTTCTTCACTTCATCTTTGCAGGCTCGGGCTATTTGCTGATCTTCTGACTTAGTTATGTTCCCCTCTTTCCACTTTCTATACTTGTCCTTTTTATCTTTCAATTTGTCAGAGAGTTCTTTATGCAGCCATGCTGGTTTCTTTTGAGAGCTGTTGTTTTTCCTCTTTGTTGGTATTGTGCTAGACTGGGCTTTTATTATCTCATTTTTCAAAATTTCCCAAGCTTCTTGAGTTGTTTTCCCCTTGATGATTCTCATCCATGGAATCCTTCCCAAGCCCTCTCTAAGTTTATTGAAATTAGCTCTCTTGAAGTCCAAGACTCTAGTTTGACTGTGTTCTATTGCTTGTGCTTCTATAATGTTGAATTCTAATATTGCATGATCACTTCCTCCCAGAGTTCCTATGGCTTCAACACCTTCTATCATTTCATCTCTGTTAGTGAGAATTAGATCCAAAATGGCTAATCCCCTAGTTCCCTTCTCTACTTTTTGGGAAACAAAGTTGTCTGCTAGGTTTGCCAGGAATCTGTTTGATCTTCCACTTGGTGCAGAGTTTGTCTCTGCACCAAGAGACAAACTCTAATGGGGGACTTTAACTCCCAGGGTAGTTAAAGTCCCCCATTACTATTGTGCTTCCTACATACCTTAGTTAGCTGACTAGCAAAAAGTTCATCTATTTCCTCTGTTTGGTTGGGTGGCCTGTAGTATACACCTATGACAATGTCATTCCCCCCCCCTTTTATATCGACCCAAATGCATTCAAGACAGTTTTCATCATTGTTGTGCTCTATTTCTGTAGAGATGTAGTCATTTCTTATATAGAGAGCAACTCCACCTCCTCTTTTATTTGGTATGTTTTTTTTAAAATAATTTAAATCCCTCTAGCTGTGTGTTCCATGTGTGGGTTTCATCCCACCATGGTTTCCGTAATGGCAACAATATCATATCTGCTTTCATTAACCTCTAATGTTTAACTTATTAAACATTAACTAAGATAGAGGTTAAATTAATAATCAAGAAACAGGACTCAGCCTGTTTGGGACTGGACTTCATTCCCCTTGAAGGGCAGATCCATGGTTGAGAGCAGTTCTCAGTTATCACTGGATTTATCAATAATGTTTTGGCCAGTTGTGATCCTTTTTCCACTAATCAGATTATCTAACCTCAGTTACAGCCCATTTTGATTATTGTAATTTGTTCTACATGGATACATTAGGAAACTCTTTAAAAGTTGCAGTTGGTATAAAATGCAAAGATCAATGACACCTAGACCAAAACGTTCTGCACTATTTTTCAGGAAATATTTTATTAAACATTTTTAAGAAGAGAAAAAAGGAAAAAGGTACACCCCAACAAAAGAAGAAGAAAAAATGTACATAAGATGAATAAAAAGGGAAATTGTAGGCATGAGAGAAATAGGCTAATTTTTATATTTCTTTGATTAGTTTTAAATAACAAAATATACTATAATATTTTTAAAACTTGCCAAAACCCAAGTATCAGTACCAAATATCTACATTAAATATCAATACCAAAAACATGTCAAAAATCATAAAATGGTATTAAGAATTGTAGGAATTTCTATTTAGGAAGCATAAAATATCCATGCAGCAATTATCATGCACAAAGTTAGTTCAATGCATTTTGTGGGAAAGTAATGTGTAATTAAAAGTATTAATTTGAAAAGGAAAATCAGCTTTTAAACTTTGTTTCATTCTGTTATTTATAAATCACTTTCAGAAACTGTTGAATTTTGCAACATTGCAAGCCAATAGAGAACATGATCCTGCCTGGTCATTACATTTCCAACAATTGTTAGACAATGAACTATTCCTTTTAGTAATCAATACTAATATGCCAGCAATAAAACCAGATTTTTTCCCTAATATTCAATGTGATACATTTTTCTTCTATTGAAATTCCTGTCATTGTTTATCAATTATTGTATTATATCAAAAATTTGCATCCATTTAAACAAGCAGCTTTAATACATTTGGAATCTGGTTGTTTATTGTTTACTTGACATAATTTAACCTCTAAAGCCCCCAATAAAGGCCTGGACTAGCTAAATCAGGGTTGTCAAACTGCCGGCCCGCGGCTGGTTTCATCATACCGAAGCCGCATCCACCCCATGCCGGCAATGCAAAAAGAGTTGCGGTACATCATAACACGTCACGTGACATGGCGAGTTTGACACCTGTGATCTAAATGACTGGCTTTGTCATTGTAAACCTGTTCAGCTGAACTTTCATTCTTAATCAATAATTACATTGTGTGAGCTATCTACATGAAAATAACCAACTACTGTATTAAGAATCTGGAGGAAGTGGGGAGGAATCTACATCTATCAAAACAATGCATACAAAGTGCTAATCACAGAGCAAGGAGCACATTTATGTGGTTCTAATTTTCAATATTAAACCTTCATGCTCAAGCTATTTATCAGGGCCAACTAACCAAAACCGCTGCTTCTTGACTACAGCTTTGTTTTTCCCTAAGAAACAAGGACACAAGTAGGCACAATGAATCACGATATCAGCTTCATTTTTTTCATTCTTTCCTTGAACAGAAGATTTTATAACCAACTCATCATTGTAACTGCCCTTTCCTGCAACCTTTCCAATTCTATGATGTCCTTTTTGACATGGGTCAAACAATATCTAGTAACTCAAATGCAATTTTGTCAGTTATGATAGTATCCCTGCCTATTATCAACTCCTTCCCTAATAATCCTTGGCACTAATTTACCCTTTCCACCACTGAGCCTGTCATTTTCAGTGCACTATTTAACAATCATCTCTATCAAATACCACAAGCAAGGATGAAAAACACATAAGATTTTTTTTTTACAGCAGCAAAATCAGCACATCAGGATAGAACACATACGTTTGCTTGTCTTTTCTGAGAGGCACTAAGGGTTTTTTTTTTCTTTTGTAATCTGTTGACTAGAAAAAGAATCTTTACTTAGCTTTAGTTCAATCTCAATTTTGCTTATAACAAACTATTGGCATTTCTGAGCTGATACAAAACAGTGGAACACGACTTTATCACAAAATTGCCATTAATGACTTATGCAGTGCAGCATCTATTGAAGCCCTCCAATAAAGAGAGATCCCAAGAAACAGGACAACTGAGAGAAACAACAGTAATAGGAAGCAGCAGATGGAAAAAACTGCTTTACAAGTACAACTCACACTTTTGAGAGCAGCAACCCAAGAATAGGGTATTGGCCTGTGGCAGGTTCTCCTCCTTTTTGTTTTTCAGACAGAGCTGCCTTCCCTGACCCTTCTTAATAGCATTGCTTAACAGTTTGTGTATCCCTAATGCGGTGGCAAGTGTCTTATCTACAAACAAAAGAGAAACTCACTGAAAGAGTCTGCGTTTGGAACCAGTTCTATGCCACTTGTTTAAAATCCTCTCTTTTCACACCCTACGCCAACAGCAGAGAAACATTCAAGAATAGCCTGAAGAGTTTCATTTCAGTGGAGCTGACAAAGATGCATTTTAATTATATAAAAGACTAAGTGTGCATGCTGTCAATTTGAAAGTAAGATAAACAAGAAAAGGTTGGCAAGAGCTAAAGCAAACAACCTTCCCTTTATCATCCATTCCTAAGGCCTGTGGTCATTCCTAAGGTTGGGAAGGGAACAAGCTTATAAATACACTCACAGCATTCCCTAACCTCATCCGTAAGATGTCACATGGGAGGAGTTTAACAAGAAAGCAACGCCAAGGAGCATTTTTGTACATCCAAGCTCCCAGTCTCTTCTCTATTCCAATAAAACTTTTGGAAACTTTCAAAACAATACAGCTGTACTTACACTTTTTTCTATTATTTTTGTCTCTAGCATTTCATTCTTTCTCTTTTGTCTTTCCTCTGCTGACATTTAAGCGGTAAGCTTCTGGGGAAACAGAGAATTCATCCAGTGCAATATACAAAGATGGAGTAAGATATGGATGCTACTACAATAAACATTAATTTTAGGCTTCTTAAGGGAACTTTCTAACTAAATTGTGAAATGAAGAAGCAAAATAAAAAGAAATTGGGTGTGCAAATTATCAAAGCTGTTCCGGAAAAGTTATACTGACTTATTAACTAAGCCATAATTGTCAGATCAAGGTGCATAGTCTCTATTATGGTTTTAAGCTACATGGATCTACTGAAGACAGAAGATAGTTTTAAGAGAGTTTAAGACAGCATGATAAAACTCATCATTATTTATGGTCTGTTCCCTTGTTTATTTTGTCCTACTGCTGTTTCTGGCAAGACTAAAGTCATGCAAAATTCTACTTGTTGAGGGACAATTCTGAAGCAAAGGAAACAAACAACCACATTGTGAGCAAGAACTATTTTTGATTCCAGTTACAAAGATAACAATTCAGTCATTCCATTAAATACTTTACCTAAACTGGAAGTCCAAAATGTCTGAAATGTTTCATTTGCTCTTTCAAGCTACTTCTTTCACAATTCTAACAAGCAAACTATAAAGCTGAAAAATATGCAAAATTACATAAACGTATGCCAGATCTATTAGCTTAGTTTCAAATTTTCTTTTCAGAACTCCCATAATTCCATACCATATGACTGTTATGCTCTATAATATTCTATACACAGCAGCAAATAGCCAGCCGAGGAACATATGGGATATGGTTTTATAGAAGTTTTTATTAGCAAATTTGGTAGTCCCCAATAATTGTCAGAACTGTTCATAAATCAGTATTTGTAATACAGAATATGTGATTATGTTAGGCAGGAGAAAAATAATAGTTTCTAATAAAACAAGGAAGAATAAAATAGAGAAAAATGCTAAATAAATTTTAGGAAGGAGGATAAGTGACAAGCAGTGAAACCACATCTGAAGTAGCTTCCACAGTTCTGGGTATCACATTCCAGAAGGATATTGACAAGTTAGAAAAGGTCAGTGGAAGACACCAAAGATTAGAAAGGACATCTGGGGACATGCCTTATGTGGATAGGATGAAGGAACTTGAGTTCTTCAAATTGGAGAAAAGAAAAAAAGACTGAGGGATACATGATATTAATATTTAGGTACCCAGAAACTATTTTCCAATGCTACAGAGTGTGGGACCAGAAATAATAGGTATAATTACATTGAAGACCTCATTTAAATCTAAAGAAAAATGTTTTAGCTGTCAGTTCTGAATAACAGTAGAACAAACTACTAATAGAGGTTATGAATTCTCCATCTTTGGAAGCTTCTGTGAAGAGGATTCAATCAGATAGTTTAACTAGTTTTCATATACTGTATATTGCAGAGGTTTGATCTAACTCCACCGTTCTGTTAATTCTGTGAATTGATGTGTAACATCACACCATAGCATCATTCTTATTTTGCCATTCTGAAGCAAACAAAAATGTTGTTGGTGCGCTGGATGTAATTTTGTTGCTTGCCTGAAGCAATAGCTGCTCCATCTTAATAAGCTAGTATAGCAAAGTGAAATACAGTGTGTACATGCTCTCTTTGCAAGTCACGCAAATTTGCAAGCCTGTTTTCATAAGAAACAATTTCCCATTTTGAATAATTTGCCATCACTGGCAAGCTTGGTCACATACATTCTGACTGTAGATAATTTGTGAGCAATGCCTTACTGCTCTCTTTCATATTCTTCTCGTATTCCCTGACACGTGCACTAGGTGTCTAGAAGAATAAGCAATCTGAACGAAGATTTAAAGGAAATGCCACAGCTGTGAATAGCAGCAATATCCACAGAAGGAAGGTGAAACTGACAAAGTCTGTGTCGCATTGCAAGCCTGACCCAGCATTTTTTATGAAAGTAAGAAACCTCTGTGGACACCAATGACTGGGAAAACATACACATCCCACTCAAATGTACACATTTCCATCACACATCATGGTGCAATTCATTCTAAGACACAGATTGTGGCTGCAACTTACAGTTTTTCCTTAGAAATGCTCCATAAATATTACCCAAGTTTCAGAATTTGAATCATTGCCTGATGAAATGACAAGATTTCTTCAGAGAACCAAAGCTTTGTTTTGAGCCTGGGGTTGTTTTGAGGAGCTGCGTGCCAGTGGCCCACATAGGCATTGAGAAAAGCATTCAAATGATCCATCGACTGAAAAAAAAAAAAAAACCAAACCAAGATCCCCATATTCATCCTTTTCCTAGCAACAAGGAAAACAGAAATAAACCTCTGTTGAAAAAGCTAAGCGTGAATATGCAGCTGTTTGGTAAACATTCTGCTCGTGAAGATGCATATATCAGTCTTCTAATTTAACAATGAAACTACATCACTTACATGGCTCTCTGGTAATGAACTGAGGTACTGCATTGGGGGTAGCAGGAGTGCTGGGATTAGGAGTTCCCACTAATTTGCTCTTAGCCATCTTCGTATTGGCCTTTGCAAACTCTAGTCGGAGCGTCTGAGGGATTTCTGGGTCAAAACGAATTCCCTTTTGCAGAAAGAAAATAAAATAACAAGAATCATTTGATGTATCAACTGAACTGAATTGCACTAAAGGTACACTCAATCTGACTGACAAGGCTAGCAACAGCATTTCAACAAAGCAGAAGCTTCAAAGTAAAGATATCCAAGATGAAAGAGATGCCATTTTTCTGAGCTCTACCAAATAACAGCATGCCTTTAAAAGCTCTGTAATCTTTGCCAGATAAAATGCTTGATAGACAGACTGGCTTCTTAACAGGTTCATGGTTTACAAAGGAGCTCGGGAGGATAAAGCACCTATAGGGATGCCTGTTGCAATGGTGGCGAAAGACAAGGAAGAACAATGGCCAGACATGGTTACAACCCCATACTTTGGCCTACACTCTGGCTCCAGGAGTGGTGTGTTGGACTTCGGAAGGTTGACTTCCCTCTTTCATACAGCTTTTCCGGATTGAGTTTGGAAGACAGAAGCATATTTCTTATTATTTTTCAGATGTTGCGTTTTGGATTTGGAGAAGTTTTTTTCCTCTACTATTGAAATCTGTCTTAAATCTTTAAAGTAAACAACATATAAATGATTGTAATAAATGTCACGCGATGTCTTTGCAATATATTTTACATATTGTAGATTCAAAAGAATAAAATAGTTTTTCCTTCTATATCTGTTTTCTGGTTCTTTGGAGATTAACTCTCTTGTTTGGCTGACAAGAGTTATGTTGGCTGTTCTGTTGGGCTGAGTTCATTGTTGAGAGATAATATCTATGTTTTTGCCCTTGGATGAAAGACAGGAATGCAGTATTTGAAGTCTCTGGAGTAAATGAAGCTTAGGTATCGTATCCCTTTACAAAATATGGTTCATCTAATTATTATTGTGTTTCATTTAATGAAAATAGTTACTTATTTGAGCTTATACCATAAAAACCATGTACGTACAAGATACTCTTACTAGATTAACCCATTTTGTGAGTTTGCACAATACATTGGACCATAAAGTAAGGTAGAGGGCTGCATTTACCTATACAACGGACAAACGACATATATAATTAAAATTCACTACGCTTCGCACATTTTGCAGAAGCAGCCAGGAAGTCTTGATTGAGCAATTTTGCTTTTCCCCTTCTTCTTCCTCAAACAGGAGGTGGAGGAATTTTCTGTGCTTGGCTACAAGCCAGATAAGAAAAGAAGAGCCATTACGTTAGAAATTTGGGTTGAGTTCCAAGAAATGAGACCACCAATTGGTATTAGTGAAGTCAGATGCAGTATAGGTTTTGTGCTGGAATGTGGGAATGACCTTGGGAGTCAGGTGTTAATGTACAATAAAGTTAGTACTTCTAGGTGTACCTCTTGTCTGGACTGCCTTATAAAGCTGACAGATTTTGCTTTATTTTATGAACAGTGATCTCAGCTCCAGCATTATGTTGTATATTGTGGGAGATCCTAAATTGACAGAGCTGATTGAGATCTGTCTCTTCAGATGCAACTGATCATTCCCTTTCTCCTTTTTAACTATGCAAAAGAAGTAAGAGAAGAAAACAAGAGCAGTAACATGTAAATCATAAGGAGGTTGGGGATCCTCAAAATGAAATAATTAGAGAAAGGATGAAGAGGGAATAGAAGCAAGCAGCAAATTAAGCTTGAATTCCTCTTCTTCATTTTTAATTAAAAGCATATCAGTTTAGTCAACTGCATTTTAAATCCCCTCAAAGACATTAAAGACAAAAATTAGAATTAATAAGGTTGTTTAAAATGGCAATTATAAGGCTTTGAAGTTTCACTTGAGAAACAGAAGCTCATGGGCTAAATATCCAGCCATCAAAACTTAGGCTAGACATCCTCTGATCCTCAGATTTATCAAGCCTCAATAAAATGTGTGTACTTTATTGTCAACTGCAACCTCCCATCTCCAAGACGAGCAGAGCTAATCCTCAAAGAGGTTATCAAGGCCACCTATCTTGGGAAGAAAAAGCGGACCATAAGAGAATACCATTTCCCTGTGCTGAAAACTCTCCTTCCTTACAGAAGCCGCTGGGGATTGTTTCCCTGTGATGATGACAGGGCCATCTTTTTTTTTTTTTGAAGTTATGCCCTCCTCTTGTTTTTCAGGAATGACAATATAAACGAAACATGAAGCACTGATGTGTAAATTGCTTTGCTTACCTTTACCCTCCCCACTTTCTTTGCCACCTGGTTCATGTCATACTATATATTGTAAACCCAAGAATAGAGTTTGGGGAGGAAGAAACTGAATACGACCTTACTGAAAATCTTAGTCACAAAGAGAGGATCGTCTTTCCTGTGATTTAGAATTTTGGAGTATAAAATAATGTCAGCCTCCATCTGCAGTCAGAAAAGCTGTATACCTGCATGAGATTTACATCTAGAATAAACAATTTAACAAATTGACTGTGCTGGCAAGGAGCATTTTCAAACTACAGTGAATTCTTATTATTTATGCTGGTTAGAGTCTCGGGTCACATATTTTTGTCAACCGATCAATACTTAATCTTGTTTTATGTGTCTTTCTGCTTAAAAGACAACTTATTTAATGCATATATTTCTTACAAATATACCCAGTACTGGGGAAAAAATCTTAAAGTTTAAACATTTAAAGTTTTATAAAAACTTATTTTATTTTTCAAGGAGCTGTAGGGATGTATGATGGAGCAGTGCTCTGTGAGGTTAAGTCTAGGGCAGGGGTTTGATGGAACCTATTCTGCAGAAGATACTGTATTGTATTTTCTCTGTAAGGCACAAAACAGCCTTCTTGCACACAGGACCACTAGGCTTGGGGGCTATTTAACCAGCCTGACCATCAGTATGAGAGAAGGAAGAGCATTTGACTTGTTGGACCACAACTGGAAATGTGTACATTAGCTGACTCAATTTTGTTTTTACTATTCTGCACATGAATATGAAAATGCTACAAATGCTATTGGCTTTGAATTTACAAATAAATGTTACTGAATAGGTGAGTTAAAAAGTACAGAACCAGTGAATAATGAAGATTTTCTCTATATTCTGAGAGTTGGCGCTATAGGACAAGGTCGACTTAAACAAGCAGCAGAATACACTTTTTAATGCAAAAGGCACTGATATAAATCTGAGCCCTCCAGTTTAAAAACGGATGAAGTTGCAGAAACTTCATCCAGATCAATTAATATGGAGCCTTTTCTGTCATGGCAACTACCTTTTAGAACACCATCCCCCAGAGCAATGCTTTTCAACCTTGGCAACTTTAAGATGTGTGGACCAACTCTCAGAATTGCCCAGCCACCATGGCTGGCTGGAGAATTCTGACAGTTGAAGTCCACACATCTTAAAGTTGCTAAGGTGGGAAACACTGACCAGAGAGTAGATTAGATTGACACTCCTGGGGATCCAGTTTTGATGCAAAGCCTATTAAATGGTTATGCTTAAGGCTGTGTTTTCTATCTCGCCTGCTGAATATGTTTTATTTTTTATATAGTTTAAAAAATATTTTTTTATGTTTTGTTGGTTTACACATTCACTTATGTGAGATGGGTATATGTATATATATGAATCAAATGAACCAACCAATCCTTATGTGGATGGTTAAATAATCTGACCTGATATAATATTTTCGTATACTAGGGACATTGTAGGAGAACTTTGTTAATCTATTGGAAACAAACAAACAAACAAAACAAAAAAAATCAGGAGAGTCTGATGCTGCTTTTTACAACAAATGAAAGACACAAGGCTTTTGGTGCTGCAGCATAAGATCAAAAAAGTTTATGATTTTGAATAAACTTGTTAGGCAGAAAAACCAGACTCTTCCTGAGTTTTTTTCTATACCATGAAGATCCTAGCACTACTTTCATTGCAGGCAAATACTGCAGGCCATGAGATAGGAAAACACAGCCAAAATATAAGCATGTGACATTTTTTAATAATGGCCATTTCAGACCCTGCTGGCTTTCCCCTGCAAATGCCCAGCAAGTTTCTCAATTCAATGTACGAATGTCCTTCTTATTGTCATCCTTGTCCTCTCTGCTTCCTTGATTCTGACTAGTCCTCCACTGTGGTAGTCGATGGGGGATCACATAAGATGGCAGCAGCCAGTGCCCTCTTCCACCCTTGCCCTTTCCTCCTGTGCTTGTTTTTGTAGAGACAACGTAATTTTAAGTACTTCAGTTATGTGCAAGAGAGTGACCAAGTTGTCTCTCAGGACAGCCAGGAATGATGGTAGAAAAGAGATCAAGTGCTAAGGAGGAAGTCTACATCTCTGAGCAGATGACAAGGTATTCCCATTGCTGAGAAACTGTCCTCTCTGTACCTTCAGAACAAAAGCTGCCAAGCAATCTGTGTGACATTTCTGTTGCAAGAGCAGAAATAAAACATTGATGGATTAAGCTCCTGATTATATTCACAAGCTCCCGAGCAAAGTAGGGGTATACATGTGTAGGGCCACTCTAGGTTTAGGCAGCCCTTTCATGTGCAAAGAGCCTATAAGGAGCATATAGAAGCACACTGGCAATGTTCAAGGCCCTTAAGCAGACAGAGTGAGACAATACTTAGCAGAGTGTTGCTAGCTTTTGTTTCCACAAAAACAGGCTAAGAACAGGAAATGGCAAAGCAAAAATACTGGGTTATTAATTATACAGTACTATACAAGGCACAAACACTGATCCATAAGAGTTTCTCCGCTGAAAAAGCAGCAACTGAAAGACATGTAAATTGTGGGGGAGAAAAACACTGAAATTCCTATTTGGTGTTTTCTGATGTAACCTGAGCAGGTTGTTTTTAGTCCCCAGCCAGAATTCTTGGCCATGTTTTTGAAAGAAATTTGTCCAGTGCTTATCTGATAGATGCTTTAGCGAGTCATCAGTTAAATTCTCCACAGTTCAAGGAGGGTTCTGGGATGTGCAAAAATCAGGACTGCTAATAATGTCAAAGAAAGAAACAACTTGACATCAGAGTAGCTGGATAGGATGGATATTAGTAGGCTCCCAAAAAGAGTAAACTGTGACAGGAAGTTCCAGTCAG